TATGGAAATATATTTCTTCTACCTGTTTGCAAGATCAGGAACTGCTTTCTGTCACTGGAATTTCAGGGTGTGCTTTTCGAACTTGTCTTGATTATACCAGTATTTGTTTGTATTAGTTAGCAATTTCCCATCTAGATTGAGGGGAGTATGAAAAAAAGAGAGAAAAAAAAGGGGGGGGATTACCTGTCTTTGGTTCAGGCTGTTATTGGCTTTAAACATTTTCTAAAGTTTGATCTTGCTATATGACTGTACTGAACCTTTGATGATTTCAGGATGTTGTATTCTGAAAACATAAAAAAATGAGGCTTGAGTGAAATTACTTATCACACGCAAGATGTGTCATTCTTTCCTTTTCGCACAAATTTTAATAGCATACAAAAGATATGGTCACTCCATAAAGTTTTCTCATCGACATAATGCTAGCTGCCTAGAATTTCATAAGTCGAACTAACTTATGCTCAAGGAAAACTTTTGTTCAATTTGCCGCCAAACCTTTACCAGAAATAACCGGATTCCCACATGTATACGTAGAGTTTCAGATTGTAGTGAGTCATGTTATGCAATTATTCTATTTATTCGCTTGATACAACAAGGATAGTCAAAGTTAGGTGATATTCCGATGCGCTTTTTATATTTTACAAAATATATAAAGTGTGTAACTATACTTCCTTTCATAAAACCTGTTTTCTCTTTTTTTTTTTTATTTAGCTCACACCTTTGCATCACGTGGTCCTCGGATGGAATTCCATGAAACCGCGATCAGTTCATTATTAGTTTTAAGTTTTAGATATTAGTTCTTGATAATATCACACATGTCACTATGTATGTAATCAACAATATGTGTGCGAAACATTGATATAGAAATGTGTGACTGATATACGAAAGTATGAAACATATTAGAGAAAATTCTACATTATTTAGCATTGTTGATGTGACGTCACCTAGCGGGAAATTTAAATATTCATTTTCTAACTATTGAAACTTCAATAATACAAATAATTACATAACCACAACCAACTCTAAGAGCCTAAAAAATATTACGGGTGCCAATCCTTTATGATATGACTCCCAAAAAATATATTTGATAATCGGAATAGCCATCAAAAGGGGGAGTTTAAATGTGGCGCTCGACCAATCAGCGCGCGCCTTTCCAGAGTCTTCCCGGCCCGCCGCCTCGAAGCCTTGACGGGAATCTGGTCCGTACAGCTCATCCGTGTGAGTATATTATATCGTCTTATACCCCCGACATCGGTGTATGTGTGTGTCTTGGACCCGCAGGAACACTAGATAATATCCGCGGCTACACAACTGTGAAAGTTTTAGCTGTTGTTGGTACGTACTTTCTCAGATAATAGGAATTGGAAGATAGGTGCTATGGTGAAAATCCCGTCAAACAAAGAAGATGGCGAATGGCGCTCTTTTTGGGGACAATATTTAAGTTCCGGGACGGCGCGATTAAACTAGTAAAATGTAAATTTAGCTGAAACGCAGGCTTGTTGGAGTAGATGATGCTTGTTGATTTGATAGTTATTAAAAGTAGATGAAGATGAAGATGCTAGTGGAGGCCGCCCTTCCTGCCACACCCTGAGGAGGCCGAGAACATGACCGCTCCTTGAACTGCGAGGATTCCTGGGCAGAAATCTCGCTGCTTGTACTTGCCTTTTTAAGCGTCTGGAGGGCTGAATGGTGATAGGGGCTCGTGCTTTTCCAAATGTCGGGGCGCGAACGTCTCTGAAGCAAAAGTGAAGTAGGAAAGGGTTCTCTCTCAACTCCTGCAGAAGCTTTAAAGTTCAAGGTAATAATACGTGGTCTTTAGGATTGGCAAATTGAGCACAAGATCTAAAGCAAGTGTAGTTATTTCTGAGGGTGAAACTTGAGAAGTTATTTTAAATTTTGCAAGTGTTCGCTTAAAGGTAAACTTCGGGTGGAATGTGGTGTCGGTGCGGTTCTGCTTTAGAACTTAAAACTAATTTGCAGTTCGTAGGTTCTGCTTTCTTTCTGGAACTTGATCTTGAAACTTCGAGACCTGGAACGCCTGAGGTGTTGTGTGATGAGTATTGGGAGCGGAATCGGCGCAGGAAACTAGCAGCAGTATCTGTTCCTGTGGTTGAGAGGGTTGGGTTCCTGTCTCCTCGCCCTCCTGCGGGAAGCTTAAGCCAGAGAGTAGTTTTGTGGGTGACAGAATAGGCATGCCTAAAGTAAAAGTTAATTTTTATTAGGGTTGCTTGACAGGTATAGCCGTTTCCTTCAGGTGTGATTGTCCCCCTTTCCAAAATGCAGATTTGATTACTTTTGAATAAATCTCTACTCTTCTTTCAAGGGCATTTGAATGTGGGAGTTTTAAGTTTTGGAGAGAAATGCATTGGCTATGTGTAATTTCTTGATTTTTAGGTATTCATGTTTTACCGAGAGCGATGCATAGAGATAGCGGGAAATGGACACTGATGCCTTTTAGAGCACAAGAAATATAGCCAAAAAACAATGTAGGTACAGCTGCAGT